GCGGGGTGGGGCGGTTAAGCCTCCCGGAGGGCATGTACATGCAGCAAGAGACACACCTTCATCTCTTTGTCGGAGGACTGATCCCCCCCAGACGACTTACGCCCGCTCTTCTTTGCCACGGGCGGCGCCGGTGAGTCTATGTCGACCGTGATGCTGTTCGTCGAGATGTCCGCGGCGTTTGCCTCGTCTGCTTCCTCGTCATCCGAGAGGACGACAGCGCGTTGCTTGCCGGCGCCCTTCGAATCGCTCTTCTTGGGGGCAGATGAGGTGTCCTTGCTGGCTGACGGCCTGGACTCCTTCGCAGGACTGTCCTTCGCCTTGGGCGCCGGCACGGGGACCGGAGGGGGCGGCATAGCCTCCCTGTCACGTTCCTCGTCGGAGTTGTCAATAATCTCCTTGCTCTTTGGCGGCGGGACATTGTCCTTGCTCTTCCCCTTGCCCTTCTTCGCCTTCGCCGGCGCCTTCTTCGCACCCTTCTTGGCCTTCGCCTTCGCTCGCCCACTCGGCGCACCCCAGTCCTCATCGTCGTCCTCGGCACCCGCACCGCCGTAGTCCTCGTCGTCTGCCACACGGGCCTTCTTCCTGCTCTTCGACGGCTTCGCAGGCGCATCTCCGCCGCCGTCGTTGTCGAGAGGGTCCTTGCGCTTCTTGCGCGGTGCCGGTTTGGGCTTTGCAGCCAATTGCGTCTCGGGCACAATGCTCGGCGAGGGAACGGGGGGTGGCGCAGGGAGTTCCTTCGCCGCCAGCCTGCTGTTTGCACTGTCCTGCGGCTGCTTCGCGCCTGCGCCAAGGTCGACGCTGCCGCTCTCCTCGTCCGAGTCTAAGCCCGGTAGGGCAGGAAGATTCGGCCGCTTTCTCTTCCGTGGAAGCGGAGGAGGTGGAGACGATAGCGGGGACAAATCGCGGTCTGCCGCGCCACCCTTAGGCGCGCCCAGCTCTTGCGATGTCTGCGGGCGCGAAAGAGCAGATGAGGACGTTCCGGTAGAGGGAGGCGGGTCGGAGGGCGGTAGCTGTGAGCTGCGCGCTCCAGGCGCGTGGCCGTGCACGGAAAAGTCAGAAGTGGGCACCGGGATGGTGTTCACGTCGGACTCGAAGCCCGGGTCAGGTACGTGGGTCGTCTTCAGACGCTTCGCAGGGATAACGACCGAGACCTCCTGCGACTTCTTCGCGCTGGCCTTCGTTGAGGCGTCGCTTGTGGGTGGTTTCTTCGGCTTCGGCTTGGGGTTTGCCTTGGGCCTAGCCTTCTTCGCAGGTGACATGGAGAGTTCATCCTCGGACGAGAGCTCGATGACATCGTCCGGATTCGACGGAGCCTTGGCCTTTGCCTGAGTCCGCGCACGCGACCTCATTTTGGCCCGTTCAGCGATGTCATGGGAGTATGGCATGTCAATGTCCATCATATCCACACCGCTGTCCGACACGCGTTCCTTCCCAGCCGCGCCTTCGCTAGCAGGGGCGGAGGCAACGGAGGAAGACGATGTGTTATGGGTAGGAGCGCCCATTGGAGGTCCCGGAAGAGCGTTGGAAGGCCCGGGGACACTGAAGGACGAATTGACTCCCGCAGCGCCGGATGAGTTGGTGGCTAAAGATGTGTTGCCCGTAGGGGGACCGTCTGTCTTCTTATATGCGGGCCTTGGTTTGGGTCTCTGGCGCGGAGGTGGAGGGCCCGAGGTACTGATGGAGATAGAGCTGTCTGCTGACGTGGGGTTCATCGTGGACTTGATGCTGGACATTCCTGGACGCGTCGCAGGTCCAAAGGATGAAATGTCGGACACTTCCGGTCGCCCAGAGGTGAAATTCGGGGATTGGATTGTCGAGGCTACGAGCATCAAGAGTTCAATCTTTACATGTGTGAGGAGTAGGCAGCGATGCTCACCGGACGTGTTGGCAGCTTCCTTGGGTGGGCGCAAAAGTTGTCCGGCTGACTGAGCATCGGTGAAGTTGGACGACTGGATTGTCGAGGCTAATGACCACAACAGGTTTCATCAAATGCGCGCAGTACAGCATTGGCAACGGCACTCACCAGTGATGTCTGCAGTGTTCTTGTAGGGAAGATGAGATTGGGCAGGCCTTGGTGCCTGAGTGTTTGTGAAATGGGGGGTTTGTATAGTCGACACTGACAGCATGCGATGTTCACGTCATGTCAAAAGCTGAAAGATATTATTGCGTACCTGTGTCTCCTTCCAACTGACGTGTTGCTGCAGACGGACCGCTGGGGCCCGCGACTGCCTTGGGGATGGTGGATGTGAAGGGGTCAAAGGTCATGATATCCTCGTCCTCGCTGTCTTCAACGTAGCCCGTGTTGCGTCCTATCGCCATGTCCAAACCAAATTCGCGTCCCTCTAAGGGATGAGGGAAAGCCGGAGGGAGGCAGAGGCTGGCGGAGGGAGGGAGACAAGCGAGCTTGAGGTTGTGGCTAAGATCAAGATGACATTGACGAGCAAGCGCCTACAGTGCGTATGCGCGTGTGGCCGTGTTTACGCCACCCACGTGTTGCGCGTCTGTATATCATGTGATCGCGTCTTCCTAGGCGCGCCGCATCCGAGTCGGGCGTGGCGGGTGGCACGGCCTCGATGAGACGGCGCTGGCACTGACAGCTACTCTCCACTCTCACACCGACCACCAGGGGCGTATCGATATTCCAGCCATCTCACACATGCTCTCGACGGACACCACGCCAGCGGCCCCCGCCTTTCCGTTCCCCATACCACACATTGAGTCGACGTCGAAGCGTGTTCGCGTCCTCTTCGGCGGTGAATACATCGTCGATACCACAGATGCTCTTCTCGTGTAAGTGTCGAGCATCCTGCTGCATCCTGCCTTGTCTCATGCGTCATCATGTAGCTGGTTGAAGCCGAACTACCCTTACTACTTCTTCAAGACCAAGGACGTGCCCCAGAAGTACCTTGTCGACGCCTTCCAATCCCAGAAGCACCACCTATACGACATTGTCGTTGGCAACAGGCGGGCGGAGGCGGCAGCCACGCTCTATCACGATGATGAGCTTGATGGACTCATCCAGATAGAGTTTAGCGTCATGGACGCCTGGTTCGAGGAAGACGAGCAGATCTATGTTCACCCGAAGGACCCGTACAAGGTGTGCCCCGCGATCTGATATGCTCGGTCGCAATATGCTCACACAGCCGTCTGTGTGCCAGCGAGTCGATGTGCTCCAGTCCTCACGTCATGTCCGAGTCGAGATCAACGGTGTCGAGGTAGCGAACACGACGCGTCCCCGTCTGCTGTTCGAGACCGGCCTGCCCGTACGGTATTACATCCCCAAACCGGACTGCAAGCTCGAGCTCCTCACGCCCTCGGAGTTCACCTCACAATGTCCATACAAGGTACCGTATCGCCGGTCTACATCCATGCGTTCACGTGGCTGACGTTAGCTTTGGAGGGTATCGCAAGCTACTACAACGTCCAGTTGCCCTCGGGCGAGCTTGTGCAGGACATTGTTTGGTGGTATCGCACCCCACAGCTCGAGTGTGCAGAGATCAAGGGCTGCGTCGCCCTCTTCAACGAGAAGGTCGACACCTACGTTGACGGCGTCCTCCAGCCACGCCCAGAGAGCCCCTGGTCCGCCAACAGGCGGAGCGCGAGGCCTACGGCGCACTAGCTTTGCCGCGCGAAGGGGGAGATCAGGGGAGTAGTGATGTAGCATAGTAACAAGTATCAGACAAGTCGTTTAGTTAGCTTTCTTGCATAGTCACTGTGCTTTCTCGCGTCATCATGGACTATGGACTGCAATCGCTATGTCGCGTAATACACGAACACGTTCATGTGGGGATCGCGGACTAAGCCTATATGGGATATCGTAGATGGGTGGTATACAGCGGACGAAGGAAGGAGGGGTCATTGCGACGTCGTCGAAGGCGGAGCTAGTGTCCGATCTTCTGCTTGTGAGGGGTGCTCAACCGTGATCTTGGCAGAAAGCCTTGAGATTTCGGAGAATGCTGCGCGGAGTAGGTCCAGATCTGCGTCGAGGTTCTCTGCCCTAGATTTCATCTGGACAGTAGGTCAGCAGAGCCGGGCGTCAAGGACAGTCAGGACAACACGTACAGCAGCAATGGTATCGCTCGCCGCGATGAGCTCGTGGTGGTGATTGTACACCAAGCTCTGCCGCTCACTGTCCAGCTCTCGAATCTCTGTGTCATGAGAGTCAACCAGGTCCAGACGAGCACATTGCGCGCACAAACGAAACCCTGCAGACATACCCGTTAACAGGTCATTCTCAGTCTTGAGCAGCGTCGGCAGAGACGAAGTTGTGATCAACTGTTCATAGTACGCCCTCGCGTTGAACGCAGGCGAGTCTACGACCACATTGTCAAAGTCAGTCTCCGTCCCTGTCCATCCCAAATTCATGATCACTCGCCAAAGTCCATCGGGTCCTGGCTGCTCTTCGCGCCCCCAAGCGGCGGCGGCGGCCCCAGCCCAAGGCCATAGTGCTTCCTCAACAGCTCCCTCGCCCGCGTCTTCTGCCTATCCCCGCCCGCGCCGCTCGGCGTGCCCTCCACCGCCCCAGTGGGCCCCAGGCTTGTCACAGACCCCGAGATGCGCCGCGGTGTGCTCGACCCGGACGGCACGGAGCGAAGAGACGAGGGCGGGGTCGGCCGGCGAAGAGGGGACGTTGGGGGCCGCGGTACTGACGGTGTCGGCGTGCGGGTTCCGGAGCGCGAGGGGGTCCCCGGTGTGTAGGGTGTGTGCGGTGTTCCTGGTGTGTACGGGGTCCGTGGGGGGCTGGACGGTGGGTTGAGGGACATTTCGTGAAAAGTAACAGTATAATGTGCTACAGATGCTGTGCCCCAAGTAGGCGAATCGACAGTGCTCAGATTGCGGTAGTCAGTAGTGAGTAACAGGACCGTGGAGGAGTCGCGCTGCAAGGGCTAGGATTCAGCAGCGGATGCGGCAAGGGCCCCATCAGAATCACCTTTTTTGGCATGCATACTGAACACCTCTCTTAACAATATGATAAATGCAACAGTTGAGATATACACAACGGTTCCGTGGTCTAATGGTTATGACGTCTGCTTCACATTCGGTGATTTCGCTGAAGGTTCCCGGTTCGATCCCGGGCGGAGCCACTTTTTGTCCATCTACGCGGCCAAAAGCGGCCAGAACAGCCCTATCCTACGTAGCGAGGATGAAGTATGTACATAGGTGTGATACGCTTTGTAGTGGTGGTAGATGAACAGGTTGTACAAAACAGTTGTCATTGATAGCACGAGAAATCTACTCTACAACTCGCAAGCATGATACATGGAGGTCATGAAGGTATTATACAGGGACTTAACATACTGTCCGTGACGTTATGTGGGTGGAAGGAAGCACGGAAGCAGACAGAGTTCATGTCCCTCCTGTGCTCGGTTCTCTCCTATGGGTATGCGGGGGTTGCCCTGTTTGCGGCGCGAGCATTCGCGGGATAGGTGACGGGTGCGTTCCCGTGCCCATACGTCACCGGGCCATGGTGAGCGTCCGTCTGCACGTACCCGTTCGCGGGGTAGCTGGTCGCGCCAGACGCAGCATACCTGCTTGCAGGGTAGCCGGTGGACCCTGCGCCGCTGTATCCTGCTGCGTGGCCGTGGTGGCCATTGGGGTGGTCACCGGGGCCCGGGGGGCCTGCTTCGTTCGCCTCCCGCGCGGCAGCGGTGCCTTGGCCGTGCTGCCTCATGGCGAGAAGACGTTGGCGGGAGAGCTCGCCCTTGTGCACGCCCTTGGCCATGCGCAGGTCGAAGAAGAAGGTGAGGAGGTAGAAGGTGAAGCCGAAGGCGATCGTCCACTCAAGGATTGCTGACACGCGCATGTGAGTATGGGAATGGGTACGCGCGAGGGGGTGGAGGGGGACGCACCTCCTGGGTCTGTGGCTTGGAACAGGGTGATCGCGAACGCGATGGCGAGCAGGATGAGTATGCCTGCGATTGTGCCCTTCGCTATGTACGCGAATTTGAGCTTGCGGATTTCCACGAAATCTCGGCTGATCCAACGGTACTGTAGAGGGTACAACGGTAAACACACGGATGTCAATCCAGTCTGATGGAGCTAACGTACCTCAACGACGGTGAATATGGCGCTGAGGCCGACGCCGACAATGAAGACGAGCAGGAAGACGCGGTGGAGGCTCGTGAAGCGCTTCGTGTCGAAGATGGAGAGCAGGATCAGACCGCACATTCCGACGAATGCGAAAAATATGGCGAGGGAGGCCAGGACACGCTCCCGTCGGCGCATGTTCGCCACCAGTCTGTTGCCTCAATATCAGCCATGTCGTTCGGAGTGTAGTCGTGCGATAGTTGCGTACCTTCCCTCATGCCTTAGCCACCGCTCAATCGCGGACGAGAGGAAGAACGAGACTCCGGTGATGGCACACCCGACGATGAAGAGCGGCTTCAGGATGTCTGCTCCGACATCAGATATGTACGCGATGTTACCGTCTTGCGAGACGTAGTGTGGTCGTCCGCTCGCGAGCCATGTTATGAGGAGCGCCCATAATGTGGCTGACAACGGGAGCGAGACGGGTCGGAATCAGCCACAGCTCTCTATCCGCAGCTAATGTCAAGGGACTCACCGAACCACATAAAGGCGCCGAAGAGGGGTATCCATACATACAACCAGTGCTCGTGCTGGTGTGGAATAAACCACATTTTCTGCTATCGTGGGTGGGGTGGTGTGGCGTGTGTTTTGTGGTCGTGTGCGCGTCGTAGAAGGAACGATCGTGAGGAAGTGGGGAACAGGACAAACCGCGATGCGGCTGCCAGGGGATCGACAACGGGCCCGGGGGCGAAGGCGGACGAGGTTTGGGAGGCAGGAAGCAGCATCGAGTGGAGACGGGGCCGGATGGTCTTATGCAGAGCATGGCGAGCGCACATCTCGCACCGAGCCTCGGTTGACGATTACGCAGCTCCTGCCGCGCTCTGGCACAGTCCAGCTCATGACGTCACCCTGTAATCCACGCTGGAGTGTCGGCGCGTCGGCTACCGTAGGCGCTCGCTCGTATACACCTCGTCCGGGATCGGGGGACGCGTTCTGTCAGCACTATTGACCCAACCCATGCTGCGGACATATGGCCGCAGATTTTCTGCATGTGCATAACACACTCCTGATCAGTATGGCACTGACCTCTTGGCGCTCATCGACCCCCATTCTCGGTTTGCCACCTACGACGTCTCCTGACAGGGAACCCAAACGCATGTATAGGTCCATCAAAACGTACCGGGCTAGCGGAAGTAGTAGTGTACAACAGCACGACAGCCGAACACAAATAAGGGTAGTAGGTATATCGCAGATGACATGGGCCGTCGTTGACACTGCTTGGAAGGAAGGTACCGCTGGAGTTTCACACCGTCTCATATCAAGACTTGACTGCAGCTGCAGCCGCAATAGGGCAGCCGGTGGCAGAGCAGCTAGGCGCCGCAGGAATGGCATGCAGGGGGCCCTGTCCAGCCAATTTACGGAAGATCTGACAATCGCCGTCAGCACACGACATAGCCAACGATCCCGCACCGCGCACCTGGGCGTAAACGTCCGACGTCTGACCACCGCTCACCGCCCACCTGCCGTTGATGACCGTGAAGGGCACGCCAGTGACGCCCCTCTTGCGCGCCTCAACCGCCAGCTGCTCGACGTGCGCGTGGTACTCGTCAGACTTCAGGAACGCGACGGCCTGCGAAAAGTAAGGCGTCATCCGTTCTCACAGCTGCGACGAGGCGCGCGACGCACCTGGTCTTTGGGGAGGACGTCCGCTTCCTCCGCGAGCTGGGCGAGGAAGTCGATGTCGCCAATGTTCTTCCCCTCGGTGAAGTACGCGTGGTAGATCTTGTCCAGGAGCTTTTCCTGGAGGACGTGCCCTCCGCGCTCATAGGCCTTTCGGAGAAGACGGTGTGCGCGGATCGTCTGGCAGATGACGCCCTCAAAGTTGCTGGGATGGATGCAAGGTCAGCCACGTTCCCCGGTGTGCACGGTCGTTCGCGGTCCACCGGAACGGAGGCCAGGCTCACATTTCAACGCCGACCTCAGCAGCGCGCGAGGTGACCATGTGAACGATTTGCTTGAATTTCTCCTCTCCGAACTTCTCCAGGTAGAATGTGGGTTTCGCGATGGTCTTGTCCTCATCCATGGACGGGTTGAGGAAGAACGGCCGGTGCTCGATTTTAATGTTCAGCTTGCAATCCTCAACATCTTTAATCGCTTTCTGGAGCTCGCGCAGGCCGATGTAGCACCACGGGCAGGTCTATGGGGGCGGCGGGCAAGGGGTGGCATCAGCGCCTGCCCGGGCTTTGCGCGGCGGAGAGGGGCTGGATGGAGAAAGACGCACGATATCGGATATGACTACCAACGAGACCACTCCGGGCTGCATGGTGTGTGCGCGCGGCGACCGGTGGGCGAACTGTTGACTCTGTGTTGGTGCGCGGGAGTGTGGGAGGGATTGCGCGGGTGCGGGGTAGGGTGCGAGGCTTGTAGAGGTGCGCCGAGGACGGGTGCGGGATGGAGGGTGCCGTCAAGGGCAAGAAGGAGCAGCAAATGTAAGCAAGGAGGTCTCGCGCGGACTAGAGAGCGCCGGGGCGTATATATGAGCTGGAGTGGCCGTTACAAATAGCAGGGAGCGGGATTGGTGAGCAGCCGCTGGGCGCCACCCTAGAGGGCTTCCGTCTGTGTCACAAACAGTGACGATGGCGTGACCCGGGCTCATATCGCGCACCGTCTCCCCGGAGAAGCCTCTCCTCCGCGCTCGTCAGTGTTTCGCTCCCGTGCCTCCATACGAACCAGAGCTCACTCTCATGACCGACCAGGACGTCCCATTCACCGCTACCGCAGCGTGCAGGCCAAGAGCACGAGGTCCGACGCTGGCCGTTACGCATTGCATCTTACTATGACCAGCTTATCTAAGTCATCGCGGCAGACGCGGCGGTGAGAAAAGCTGACCATTACGAGCACGAGTCGCCCTCGCAGTCCTCAGGACTCTGCGATGGCTTTTGGGAAGTCGTCCGAGCTTCCCGGACAAACCCAGGATCCGCTACATATTATCCATCTCGTCAGCCGCCTCGCGCTGCCTTGAAACAGCTTGGAACCCAAGATTACATGTACGCGCGCCTGCAGGCCAACAACCCCGCGGCGTGTGAGGACATGTCGCTCCCACGTTTGTACCACTCATCCCGTCGTAGCGCAGTACTTGTTCCGCATGGCTTGTGATTTAGTACGACGCCCTCAAAGTGTCGGTTCGCCGGACGGACACACACGATCCTGAGTAAAGTGAAGGCGGACTTACAGTCAGATGGTCCTTTGAGCCCCATTAGTTATATAGGGCTCGTTGACGAAACCATCCCCGTCCTTATCCCCGTGTCAAGGCGTATAACATGTGAACGCCGCGTCGCGTTAGCAGGACACTTGTACGACCGGCGGGTAGAAATTGTCACCCACATCGGAGCCTTCTACTGCCTTGACGGTAAGGATCGGAGGTATGTAACTTTGCCCATGCAGCGACCATGAACATCTTCTGACCTTCTGACCGGTCTAGGTACAGGTGCTACCATCAATCACTTCACTGTAGGGGGTAGAACGGGACCCTCTCCGCCTCTTCGACATTTCAATAGGTCTTCCCGAAGGTCCTGTTAGGGTTTATTGGCGGCGAGATCTGCAAGGCAAGGCAAGTCCATCTCCGGTCTGCTGCATAGCGTCCTTCCGGGACCCCGCACTGCGCTTCGCTTCTGACACACGCTGTTCACAGGTCAGGGATACAACGCAACTTCGCATAGCCAGGTGACGAACGGGGCTGAAAGAATGCCGCTGCGTGGATGCGGCTCGCGTTTACCGGTACACGCTTCCGAGAAATTCCCTGCCGTATGACGTGACACCGTGGTGGCGGGGACGACGTCCATTCCTCATAAGAAAGATCACAGACTCCCAAGCGGGGAGGATGTGTTCCTAGAATGCAGATGTTTGACATCGTTCTCTCCCGCACGTTCGGCGGAACACATGCAGAGACGGCCATATCTTGCTCCGTCGTTCGTAGAAACGGAGATACGAAATCCAGGTTCGTGGGCGCAACCGGGTACTCGCTGTGGATTTTACGGCGTAAAGGGTATGGCCATTA